CAAGCCATCCTCCTGCCTCAGCCTCCCAGAGTGCTAGGATTACAGGTGCGAGCCACCATGCCCAGCCCATAATGAATTTGTCGTTTCCACGTCAGGGCTTTAAAAAAAGCAAACATTACAAATAACAATGTCCTTCGTAGCTTTCCTGATTACATTCTATCCTCCTGGCCTTCAGGGATCACCCCTGCCCCACCCCCATTCTGTGTTTGTTAAGCCCTCTCATGTTTGTATCTTTTTGCAACACATATCCATGGGCAAAAAGTTTTTTGTGTTTTAAACCTTCATGTAAATGGTATTGTAGATTTCTATAGTGCGCAACACTGTGCTCTAGGTTGGCCAGGGTGACACATGGAGTGCTGTTTCATCTACTTTCACTGACCTATGATCTTACCCTGTGTGAATATATCATGATCTGGTTGTCCATTCTTCATGTGATGAACACTGAGGCCATTTCCAGTTTCTCCCTGTTAGAAGCATTACCATGGTGAACATTCTTGTGCTTATCTTTTTGTTCCTTGTGGGATAGTTTCTCTAGGGTGTACACACCCACCCATTAATAGAGGGACTGTACTTTTAAGATGCATACATACTAATAGGACTTTTCCTGACAGCTGAGCTTTTTATGGAGTCCTTTATGCTTGTTGTCTCCTCTTCTCTCCTCTGGAGCCGGTCATTTGTTTCTGTCCAGCTGCTGACCAGCGAGTTACAGCAGGGCTCACCCTGCCCTGGAGCGGCCACCTCTTTGTCCCTGTCTCCTCACTAGACTGAGGGCTGCTGCAGGGCAAGTCCCCAGGCCTGATTCCCCTCTGCAGGAAAGCACCTGGCCAAATTGATGGTCCCTAGAAAGGTGTGTTCCCTTTGGCTGGAGTGATGCCTGGGCTGGGGGCGGTGGTTATTTCAAAGCTCAGGAGAAATTAGGGAGGTGACACAGGGGCTAGGGGGGTAGTCCTGGTCGGAGAAGGAATTGCATGAACAATGGGAAGCTGGAAGCCAAACCAGTGTGTGGTCTTTGTTTTGTAGATGGAACCTGAAGCCCAAAGATGGCAAGCCAGTTCCCCAAAGTCACAGAGCAATGCAGAAACCATCGGCCTCATCCTCATTGGTTGGTCATTCACACATTGATTCAATACATATTAACGAAGCGCCTACTCTGTGCCATGCATTGTTCTAAGCACACAAGATATATAGCTATATAGTCATGTGCTACAAAACGACGTTTCAGTCAATAATGACCGTACGACGACCGTGGTGCCATAGTCCCATAAGATTATAATAACGTATTTTTACTATACCTTTTCTATACCATTGTCTTACAGCTGCCCACAATATTCAGTACAGTAATATGCCGTGCAGGTTTGCAGCCTAGGAGCAATGGGCCACAGCATGTAGCCTAGGTGTGTAGTTGGCTGTACCACCTGGGTTTGTGTAAGTGCACTCTATGATGTCTGCACAATGACGAAATCGCCTAAGGACGCACTTCTCAGATCGTATCAAGCAATGCGTGACTGTAGTGATACAAACTAGCAAACAAAGACCTCCTGTTCTGACCATGGAGCTTATTATTCTGGGCATAATTATGATGAATTGCTAATTATGTTTGCCTCTAGGATTGAAGCAGGGGGGATCCCAATTAGAGGGAGGATGCCCCAGGGGAGCGCCCCATGAGTTACAGCTTGACTCCAAAGCCCCCAATTCTCAGTCTCCCCTCTTTCCAGCATATCGCGGGGAAGCCCAAGAGTTCTTGCGGGTACTTCCAAAACAAAACGGGCTAACTGGGGGAGGAAGGGAGGGTGGTCTGGGAGAAAGACTGAAGAGCTCTTTGTAGCCAGGCAGGGCTGTCAATAAAGTTTTGTCGCCTTGGCAACCACAGGCCTCCCGGGGCGGGGGCCATGGAGGTGCGCACGCATTCACCTCCTCCCGCCGGGCCACCCCGGCTTCTTCCCTCCTGCGGCGGAACGTTTCAACAGAGAGAACGCGAAGGACGCGAAGTGCAAAGTGACGGGCGGAGGCCTTAGCCAATGGAAGTACGGGCCGTCCCAAGGCCAGCCAATAATATAGGAGTTCTGAAGCTGACGGAGCCCGCCCTCTTTCCTCTCGGACCTGAATAACCCGACCCAACCCGAGTTTCGCCCGGAGCGACGGTGCTCTCGGCCAATGAGGGCGTCGACTTCGGGCCGTAGCAGAGGAGGAGGCAGGACAGGTCTCCATGGCAGCAGCTGAAGGACAGCGGTGTGAGCCACTGGCAGCAGTTGGCGGAGCTTGACGGCAGAGAGGGCGTGGCGGGGTTTTGTCGGGGCACAGACTGGGGCCAGGAGGGGAGGGAAAGCGTGGGGTTCGGCCAATGGGAGCGACGTGAACTCCATAGCAACGAAGGAGTGGCGGCATCTTTGGCCAATAGGGACCTACAATGGCCGTGGTGGGGCGGGCCCGTCGGGCAGACTGGAGGCGCGGCGACTGTGTCTGACGAGAGCTGAAGGAGGCAGTGGGAGGTGGTGGCGGCGGCGGCGCGGGCGCCTGAGGAGGAGGAGAAGCGGGTGAGGGGCGGCGCGGGGCCCGACCTCTGAGCCCCCTCACGACCCCTGCCCCGCGCCGCCTTGGCTCCCAGTCGCCCCCCCGCCCCGACTGCCCCCAACCCGCCCGGCCCCTCCTCGTGTCCTGGCGCCCACATCTCCCGGTCCCTCGGCTGACCTCGGGCTCGTCTGCACTGCAGCCCCTTCCCTGTGGTTCCTCACCCAGGCCTCTCCTTGCACCAGGGCCTCTCCCTGACCCCTCTGTCACCGCCCCCCCAAGTCACTCCCTGCACCCCTAGGGCCTCTCTCACCCCCCAGGCTTCTCCTTGCACCCCCAGATCCTCCCTGACTCCTCTCTCACCCCCACGCCTCTCCATGCAACCCCCAACAGGCCTCCCTCTGTGCCCCTAGGCTTCTCCGTGAAACCCCAGGCCTCTCCTTGCACCCCTCAGTCCTCACTGCAGCCCCAGCCAGGCTTCTCCCTGCACTGCCAGGCCTCTCTGTATCCCTGGGCTTCTCCCTGCACCCCCTAGTCCCTCCCTGCACCCCCAGGCCTCACTCTGTACCCTCCAGGACTCTCTCTGTACCCCCAGGCCTCTTCCTGCCTTTCCCTGACCTCTCTCTCACTTTCCTAGCCCCTCAGGCCTTCTCCAGGCGTTTCTCTGCCTTCCCTGGCCCCTCCTTGGACCCCCAGGCCCTTCCCTAGGTTCTCTCCTCACAGGAGCTCCCAGGACCTCCCTCCCCAGGTCCGGTCTGGTTCCCTAGGACCCTCGCTGGACGCCCAGGCCCTTCGTTGCTGTCCCTGGACCCCAGGTCTCCCCTCCGACTTTTCTAGGCTCTTCCCTGGATCCGCAGGCTTTCCCCCAGCTCTCACTGTCCTCCCTGGCACCCCCCCAACCCAGCTTTTCTGCAAAACCCTCGGAGCACCCCAGTCCCTGGTCTGTAGCCGATGTCCTTCCACAGTCGCCTTCTGTGCCCATCTCTATGTGTTTTTGTCTTTACTCACAGGCCCCTCTCCAGCTTCCGCTCCCTCCCTAGCGCCCCCACGTTATTTACCTCCAGCTTTCCAGACCCCTCTCCCAACCGCTCTAGCTTTTCCTGATGTCTCTGCAGCTCCCTGCTCCCTGCCGGTCCCCATCTACTCCTCTCCCAGGGTGCAGATGGGCCTGAAGCGCCATGGTGTGGGTACACGGCAGGCCCTCTGTCAGTGGTAGGGGTTTGTTTATTTTTTCTTAATCTCTTTGTTTTCTCTCTTCTTGCTCCTCGCTTTAAAATTTCTAAACAATTTTTTTACCTGTTCTTCCTCTGAATACTGTTCTTTTTCTCTCCCCTTACTCCTGCTTTTGTCCTATGAGCCCCCCCCCAGCGGGAATCCTTGGAGAGGGAGCAGGTGCCAGGACCCCTCCTCCTCCTCCATTCTCCCTCCCCTCAGCCCCTCCAGGCTGCCTGGGGCTTCACCCAGAGCCTCCTGACCACTCCTGAGGCCTGCTGGGGCGGGAGGGCAGGCAGGAAGCTTTGGCTTTTCCTAGAGGTGGAGTTGCTCCCCACAGTGCTAAGCCTTTAGGGTTACCCCAGACTGCCAATTAGTCAGCCTTCCCTGGGCCACAGGGACTTGTCTCTGTACGTGCGCACATCGGGGCGCGTGTGTGTGAGAATCTGCGTGTGCACACTGGTGGGGGTGTCTTGTGTGCCAGGTGGTCAGTAAGCATGTGTGTGGGAGTGGCTGGCTGCCCGTGCATGCGTGTGCACGCGTGTGCACGTAGGGGTCGTGTGTGTTTGGGGGATCTGTGTCTGCGCTGCAGAGCGTGTGGGGAGGGAGATACTAATGGTGATGGCTGTCATTTCTTGTGGGGTTCCCCACTATCAGAAGTACTTGTTGCATTTCATCTCCGCTGAACACCCTGTGAAGTCGGTATTGCTTTTCTCCCCGTTTTATAGATGAGACTGCAGGGCTCGCCAGAGGCACACACATCTCCTAGGTGGCACAGGGGCAAGCACAAGGCCTGGCTCCCTGGCCCTGCCCCTGCTTTGTCCTCACGAGCCCCCTGCTCTCTGCCAGAGGCAGCATGGTCTGCAGGGCACCATGGGGCCTGACAGAGTGACAGCCCGAGAACTGTGCGAGAACGACGACCTGGCCACCAGCCTTGTCCTGGACCCCTACCTCGGCTTCCGTACCCATAAAATGAACATCAGGTGAGGGGGCCTGGGTGCGAGGGTGGGCCCCCAGGGGGTTAGGGATCCCTCTCCTTGCACTGCCACCCCCCTCAGCCCGGCCTTCCCCTCAGCTCCAAGCGGGGGTTGGGGACGGGGCCCGGGAAGGCCCTGGGACCCAGGCATGCCCTCTCCCCCAGCCCCGTGCCCCCCCTGCGGCGACAGCACCACCTGCGCTCAGCACTGGAAGCTTTCCTGAGGCAGCGGGACCTGGAGGCTGCGTACCGGGCCCTGACACTGGGAGGCTGGATGGCCCACTACTTCCAGAGCCGGGGCCCGCGGCAGGAGGCTGCCCTCAAGACCCACGTGAGGGAGCCCTCCCTTCCCCCACCGTTGCCGCGTGTCTTCCCTGTTCACCTCTGCCTGGCCCCGTCTGGCAGACACCCTAGCGCCCCTCAGTGCATCCCCTGGGGCCCCCTGACTTCCTAGCCCTTGGGACCATCTGAGGCAAGGCTCAGAGAATCCTAGGAGAGGAGAGTTGGGGGGGCCCTCTGAGATGGAGTCCAACCTCTTCATTTGACAGATGAGGAAACTGAGGCCCTAAGAGGGGACGTGAGGCCCCGAGAGCACACAGTGAGTCAGTGGCACAGCAGGCCTAGAGCCCCGGAGAGAGGGGGCCAAAGACGTCCCTGTTCCATCTCCTCACCGCTCACCCCTGACTGTCACCAGGTCTATCGCTACCTCCGTGTCTTCCTGCCAGAAAGTGGCTTTACCATCCTGCCCTGCACCCGCTATTCCATGGAGACCAATGGGGCCAAGATTGTGTCCACCCGTACGTGGTAAGAGAGCAGGACTCCCTCCGGGGCTGCTGGGAAGGAGACCCTGTCCTATTGGAGGAGAGAGGACCCAGAGGGGATGGGAGAGAGATCCTCATGTCCATGGGCTGGCTGACCCAGGAAGAGAGACCAGTGCCTGGTCCAGGCACTGCAGGAAGGCCCTTGCTGCCCACCGTAGTGTCACTGGAGGATGAGACCCCAGATGCAACCCCCAGGGTTCCTGGGGCTGCCAGGAAAGAACTAGGCTCTGCTCAGGACTGCCGTCCTATCTGTAATACATCCTGACCTGAGCCCCCACCATGTGCCAAGCACCACTGGGTACAGTGAGGGAGACCCATGCCTACCTCTGCCCCTGTGGGCGCAGCCATGGGGGAAGGCCAGTGGCAACCAAGTGAACATGCGGTTACTGATCACAGCTGTTATGGGCAGCGGAGCTGGCCAGGGAGTGGTGCCCAGAGAGCTCACAGGGACAAACTGGGGGGTGTAGCAAGGCGTGTGGGGGGAGCCCTGGCAGGAGGCAATGAACGAGAGCAGGGGAGAGAATGGGAGGCCCGGGCTAGCCGGGCTACGTGTGCTGTCCTGGAGGCTTTCAGCAGAAGGATCCTGGGCGGCGGTAAGAGAGAATCTGGGAGGCGGACGCCAATGGCCGGCACCGCCCCTGGTCCCGCTCACAGGAGGCCTGCTCCCCGGGTGCTCCTGTGCCAGGGGGCCCGAATGCCTATGGGGAGTGGTGCTCATAGCCCCGCATGCCCTGGCCTCTTGGCAGGAAGAAGAACGAGAAGCTGGAGCTGCTGGTGGGCTGCATCGCCGAGCTGCGGGAGGCGGATGAGGGGCTGCTGAGGGCCGGAGAGAACGACTTCAGCATCATGTACTCAACCCGCAAGCGGAGTGCCCAGCTGTGGCTCGGCCCTGCAGCCTTCATCAACCACGGTGAGGGCCAGGCCGTCGGAGGGGCGGGGCTGGAGGAGGGGGTGGGGCCACAGGGGCAGGGGCGGGGCCAGAGGGCAAGGCTGGAGGGGGCTCTGACCACTCAGATCATCCTCCTCTTTTCTCCCCTACCCTGCCCCCGACTGGCTGCAGACTGCAAACCCAACTGCAAGGTGAGACCCCGGGACACCTAGAGGAGTGGGCACGTGGGAAGTAAGAATGCCTGGGCCCGGCTAAGGGATTTTTGGTCAATAAAGAGCCGGAAGCTGTCACGCGTCTCCATGGCTTCCCACTTATCAAAGCAGTTTCCCACCCCTGGCAGCCCCTTGGAACGGGCAGAGTGGGTGGTGTTCCTGAGGCCATCAGGAAAGGAGGAAGAGGCTTTAGCTTGGCCAGTGTCGCCTGGCCGTTTGCACAGTCACACTGAGACCCAGGTTGCCAGCTGCTGGTGGTGATCTTTCTTTTCTGAAACCCAGCTGGGAGATGTGCCAATATGAGCAGGGAGTGTAGTGATGAGGAGACAGAAAGTGGCAGCTAGGTCCCTGGGCCCCAGAGGCCCCGGCCTCACGGGGAGACGGCACAAACAGCCACGGCAGAGCTGGGGAAGGGCTGGTTCATGCCACCTGGGTTGAGCCCAGAGAGCCCCAAGAGCCGGGATTAGGACACTCTCCAGGCAGAGGGCAGAGCGGGGGAGCAGCTGGCCGAGGAGGCTCCATGGGGCTCCTGTGCAGCGGAGCAGAGGGGTGGAGGGGAGCCCGCCCCAGGAAGGCCTGGAGTGTGCACCCGGGGGGTGCAGACCTCATCCGGCCCTCAGTGGGTGTGACTAGGAGGGTGCAGGGCTTGGCTCCGGAGTCAGAACTGGGTTCGAGTCCTGGTTGTGCTGCCCTGGCCTTGGGTTTCTCACCTCAGACAGGTTTGGGGAGAATCCTCACCTCGTAGGATAGTGGTGAGGGGCAGGTGGCGCCACCTGAGACTGCAGACTGATTTTGGGACAAATAATGTGTACCCTTGTCTGGCCCCACACACAGACGCCGGATGGAACAGAAAGCAAAAGGCAACATTCCTGAGGCTCTGGGAGGCAGCCGTCTCGGGCACAGGAGAGGGCGGCCACACTCCAGTGAGCCAGAACTGTTGGGCTGCACAGAAGTGGTGGCTTGCAGGGTGTCAGAGGAAATCAGGGTGCAGGAGCGCATCCCAGGCAGGACATGGCGTGCCAGAGGGCTGGGGTGCCCAAGATGGCTCCGGGTGGGTGCCAGGGCCTCGTGGGGCAGGCCAGGAAGCCATGGGAACTGCCGCCGGGGTGCGCGGTGGGAGGCTTAGTGTTTTAGATGACTCCGGCAGGCAGTGTGCTGGAGGCCGGACAGGAACTGGAGAGCTGATGAGAGGCTGACTCCGGGTAGGGTCCTGGGGACCAGAGGAGGACAGGATACAGGAGGTGACGTGCTCAGGAGGTGCCTGCCAGTTGGTCTGGGGGCCATCAGGCAGGTACACTGTGAGGGCCACTCTCGGGTGAGCGTTAGGCTCGAGTAGATGGATGGAGAGACAGACAGATGGACGGTGGTCATGCCCCCTCCTGGATGGAGAGCAGGGAGGCAGGTGCAGGCATGAGGAGAAGATGAGGAGAGTGATAGGCTTGTGGGGCAGCCACCAGGCAAGCGATCCGAAAGGCGGGGCTGGAGCGTGGGGTGGAGGCAGGCCCCAGGAGGGGAGGCAGCCCGAGCAGGCAGAGCTCAACCTCGGCTGCCGAGGCACAGGCTGGCAGAGAGTGGGCAGCTCGGGAGGGGCTGGGCTCCGGGTGTGTTGGAGGAGGTGGAGCTTGGCACGTGGCTGTAGAAGCCGGAGAAAGAGCACAGGAGGGAGTGGTCACTGCTGCTGGCACTGCACGCTGCCAGGAGGTTAGGTTAGATCATCGTCCTGCAGGGAGGGGTGGAAACCAGCCAAGGGGCAGATCGTCCAGGCCCTGCAGGCGGAGGACAGGCCCTCGGCAGGGCAGCCACTCCAAATGGTGCTGCTTGGGGGCTCAGCTGTTGCCCTGACCCAGGAGAGGACCCTCGGGGCCAGGGTGCCCAGCCAGGGGGGAGAGCGGGTAGCCCCTTCCCTATGCCTTGGCTGAGGTGCTAAGCTGGCATGGCCCCAGTTTGTGCCCGCAGATGGGAACGCAGCCTGTGTGAAAGTGCTCCGGGACATCGAGCCAGGGGACGAGGTGACGTGCTTCTATGGCGAGGGCTTCTTCGGCGAAAAGAACGAGCACTGTGAATGCTACACCTGTGAGAGGTGGGGACAGGGTGCGGGACAGGCCAGCTGCCCCAGGGTCCTGGGGTCCCTGAGCCTGAAAATGCATCCTCTTCGGGGCCCCTCCCTGAGCGCATCCACCCCCAGCCTCTCCCTTGCTCCTGGCCCGGCAGGAGAGGCGAGGGAGCTTTCCGACTGCGGCCCAGGGATCCTACGCTGCCACCACGGCCCCAGGACAAGTACCAGCTACGGGAGACCAAGCGGCGGCTGCAGCAAGTCCTGGATAGCAGTGGCCGGCAGGGCCTGCTGGGCCCGTGGGCCTGTGTTCACCCATCCCCTCTGCGCCGGGACCTGTTTTGCAGTGAGCACCCCTCCCTGCCATGCTGGCAGCCTGTCCCCTAGCCCCTTCCCTTCCCTCCCTATCTGGTCTTCTGTCCCCTTTCTCCTGAGCTCTCTGCCCAGCCTCGACCCTTCCCAACCACTCTCAGTTCCCTGACGGGGCTTTGCTGTCCAGCATATCTCATTGCCTCTTCCTCCCCTGAGGAGCACAGCACAGAACTGTCTCCGTGTCCACAGGAGGGCCTGCCAGGCCCTGCTGATGTGGCCTCTACTTTGTCTCCTCTTCTCCCCGCCCCCACAGCTGCCTGCCAGCCCCTGCACCTGCCACCTTGCGGCGCCCGCCTGGACAGCCTGCCCCTGTGGCTCCAGTGGCTGCCTCAGCCCCAGCCCCGAGCGCACCCCCGGAAACGCCGACGCCCCCGGCCCCGGCGGGTCTCAGCACCCCCCATCCCCCATGCTGCCCGCATCTCCCTGCACCGTTGGGGAGGCTGTGGCCCCCACTGCCGCCTGCAAGCAGAGGCCTTGGTGGCCCTGGGCCAGCCTCCCCGTGCCCGCTGGGCTCCCCAGCAGGACTGGCACTGGGCCCGGCGCTATGGGCTGCCTTACGTGGTGCGTGTGGACCTCAGCCGCCTGGCCCCGGCCCCACCAGCCACCCCTGCCCCTGCTGGGACCCCAGGCCCCATCCTGGTCCCCAAGCAGGCCCTCGCCTTCACCCCCTTCTCCCCGCCCAAGCGCCTGCGGCTGGTGGTCAGCCACGGCTCCATTGACCTGGATATCAATGAAGAAGGGCTGTGACGGGCTGGACTGGGGATGGGGGGCCCTGGCCAGGAGGGAGGGGGCTCTCTCCTAGCTCCCCCCCACCTCCAGAAAAAGCCCTTGGACCTCTGGGAGGCAGCTGACCCTTGACCTCAGCACAGCTCTGACCCTGGGTGGGGGTTGGTTTGGACACCCCCAGGGATCTGATCCCTGACCCTTTGTGACTGCTGACCCCTGAGCCACCCCCACCCCGCAGGGAGCCCTGGCCATTTGTTGCCCTCCCCACCCCTGCCCAGCCTCAAGACTGCAGGAGCCATCCCCTCCCTCAGCCCCTTCCTCCCCAGGGAGCAAAGCCATAAGGGGGTGGGGGCCACCCCATGGCGTCTCCCCAGAAGCCCAGGCCTCAGGAGGAGGTAGAACTGACTTGGGGGTGGCACTCCCTCAATCTGCCCCCATGGAGGGGAGTGGGTCTGCTCTCAGCTCTGCAACTGTCTAAGGTGGGGGAAGGTGGGGGGGTGTCTGGGGGCATGTCCTCCTCACTGCCCCCGAAGGGTCTCAGGGAGGCCGGGTGCGACCTCGTCTTTCTCATGGTGCTATCCCTGGTGCTACTGGGGTGGGGGCGCCCTCCCCTCCCCCACACCAGAAAGGGGTATGTTGGGGGTTGGAAGCACTTGAACTTTTTATTTTATTTTATTAAAACCTTGTTACAAGGAGCGCCTTTGGACTTTCTTTGTTTTGGCATATGTCTTGCTAGGCTGTCAGGATGGTGAGGCCCTCGGCCGTGCTGGGGAGATGCACAGGCCTTGGGCCCTGAGAGCTGTCGGGAGAGGGCTTGGGGCAGGTGAAGGGCAGCGGGTTCTGGGGACTGGCGTGCTGAGGCAGCGGCCCTGTCCCTGCTCAAACTGCTTAGGTTGGTGCAAAAGTTATTGCGGTTGTAGCGTTGAAACTTGCTGTTTGATACGGAATACATTCGTAAATAAATGTGGTTATGTTATACATCATTTTAATGTGCATCTCTCGCTTTATGTGTTTTTGCTAATGACTTATCATTTGCTGTTTATTTGATATTTATTTTAGACTATGGAAATGATGTTAGACAAAAAGCAAATTTGAGTGATTTTCTTATTCGGGTTGTAAAGCAGCGGAGACAACTCAAAGTATCAACACCACATTTGGCCCAGGAACTGCCACGGAAGTTTTCCAAAGAACACGAGAGCCTTGAAGATGAGGAGCGCAGTGGCCGGCCATTGGGAGTTGACAACAATCAATCGGGAGCAGTCATCGAAGCTGATCCTCTTACAGCTACACAGAAGTTGCTGGAGACCTCAACGTCGACCATTTATTCTACGGTCATTGGGCATTTGAAGCAAATTGGAAAGGTGAAAAAGCTCGATAAGTCGGTGCCTCGAGCTGACCCAAAATCAAAAAAATCATCGTTTTGAAGTGTCATCTCTTATTGTACATAACAATGAACCATTTCTTGATTGGATTGTGATGTTCAACGAAAAGTGGATTTTGTGCAACAACCGGCAAAGACCAGCTCAGTGGTTAGACTGAGAAGAAGCTCCAAAGCACTTCCCAAAGCCAAACTTGCACCAAAAAAAGGTCATGGTCGCTATTTGGTGGTCTGTTGCTGGTCTGATCCACTACAGCTTTCTGAATCCTGGTGAAACCATTCCATCTAAGAAGTATGCTCAGCAAACCGATGAGATACACCCAAAACCGAAACGCCTGCAGCCGGCACTGGTCAACAGAAAGGGCCCGATTCTTCTCCACGACAACGCCCGGCTGCACTACTCACAACCAGTGCTTCAGAAGCAGAATGAATTGGGCTACGAAGTTTTGCCTCACCTGCCATGTTCACCTGACTTCTCGCCAACCAACTACTTCTTCAAGCATCTCGACAACTTTTTGCAGGGAAAACGCATCCACAACCAGCAGGATGCAGAAAATGCTTTCCAAGAGTTCGTCAAATCCCAAAGTACGGATTTTACGCTACGGGAATAAACAAACTTATTTCTCGTTGACAAAAATGTGTTGATTGTAGTGGTTTCTATTTTGATTAATAAAGATGTGTCTGAGCCTAGTTACAATGATTTAAAATTCACGTCTGAAACCGCAATTACTTTTGCACCAACTCAATAAAAATGTCTTCAGACCGATTGTGTCTCCTGGGGAAGGATTCTCCCCTCTTTCCAGTTGAGGTAACTGAGGTCAAGCCAAGCAGAGTGACTTGCCCAAGGCCACACAGGGACTTGAGGGCCCTTCCCTCACTTCTCAATCAGACACCCTCCCACACCTCAGCGCAAACAGGGAGAGGCGGGTGGGACCTGCCAGAGCCTGGTCGGGGCGAGGTGGTGCTGATGGGCCGTCAGCTGGGTCCTCTTAGGCTTCAGGCTTCGCTCTGAGTGTGAGACCAGGACAATGAACCTCATTGCTTCAGGTCCGATCCCATATCTTGATTTCACCATGGTCTCTATTTTTTTTGAGACGGAGTCTCGTTTTTGTTGCCTAGGCTAGAGTGAGTGCCATGGTGTCAGCCTAGCTCACAGCAAGCTCAAACTCCTGGGCTCAAGCGATCCTCCTGCCTCAGCCTCCCTAGTAGCTGGGACTACAGGCACGAGCCTCCATGCCCGGCTAATTTTTTATTTCTATTTTTAGTTGACTTGCTAATTTTTTCTATTTTTAGTAGAGATGGGGTCTCGCTCTTGCTCAGAGCTGGTCTTGAACTCCTGAGCTAAAGCGATCCTCCTGCCTCTGCCTCCCAGAGTGCTAGGATTGCAGGCGTGAGCCACCGCACCCGGCCTTGCCGTGGTCTCTTAACTCTCATGGCAACCCTCCCTTACAGAAGGAAATAACAGCTGACACCCCTGTTGCCGGCTCCACCAAGTCCCTTGGGCACAGAGTCTTCTCATTCAGCCGCAGAGAAGCAGAGCCACAGCGCCATGTCTCTCCAGCAGCTGCGGGCTGCAGCCAGCACATTGCCTCCATGTCATCGGCCTGAGCAAGCTTACTCTGGAGGTGGCCAGGCCAGGCTGCGTGTACTAAGAACCCCTTCACTGCCCTGGTAGAGAGGGAGCTGGGGGGGATGGGGAGGCAGGAGGGAGGGTCAGGCTGCTTCCAGGATTCGTGGAGCAAAGGGTGAAGTGCAGCAGCTGGTTTTGCGGTTCCGACTGGGAAGTACCTGAGCCTGTGTACAGGCTGGGAGGAAGGAGGAGGTTCTGAGGAGAGACTGGAGGGGGAAAGAGGGTGCTGGATGGAGTGAGGGGAGGGGAGGAGGAAGAAGAGGAAAAGGGGGAAAAAGGGGAGGGAGGAGCAGTCGGGAGAGCAGGGATGCAGGTGCTGGGGTGGGGGCAGGAGCAGTTGATCGCCTGGGCTTCCTCTGACCTGGGAGGCTGCTGGTGACAGTGAGGCTGGCACTGGGGGTCTCAGGGAGTGGCTGCTGTAAACACCAGCAGGTAAAGCTGACCGAGGAGCCATGGGAGAGGTGTTCGGAGTTTTGGGTGGTGATGGTCCACCAGGCTGGAGGCAGGCGGGTCTGGCCCTGTCCTTGGCTCAGGCATCCTTGGGCAGTGGTGGCTGCAGGGGAGGCCAGGGATGTAAGAATGCACTGGGATGGACTTGCAGGGGTGGGGGGGCAAGGGCAACATACATAACCCAAACATCTGTACCCCCATAATATGCTGAAATAAAAAAAATGCACTGGCATGAAACCTGGAAGCATAACACTCCTCAAGTGACAGTGGTGGGCAGGATTGTGGGCCCAGAGGGGAAGGAAGAGGAAGGCTGGCCAACAGGGCAAAGGCAGGCTCCAGGCTCTGGGCTCTGGGGAGGTCAGGAGGCTGGCATGGCTGCACAGGTGAGGGGCCCCATGCACAGGTGGCTACCTGGGTGACCTCACTGAGTCCTCAGGCCGTCTTTAGCCCCATTCTGTGACTCAGAGAGTGGCCCTGCCTGCTGCCAGCTTTCATTCCTGCAGCAGCGCAGCCTCTGCGCAGGCATCATCCGAGACTGGAGATGTTGCATGAACAGCGGGCCCTCCTGTAGCCAAGTCCACACCCTGCACCCTCACCCACCTGCCTCTTGGGTCCTGGTCAGAGACAGGGAGCCAGGAAGCCAAGAGACCACCTCTCAGAGGTGGAATCATCCGGGAGATGGCCCGTCTGAGTGTGCCCTGGGTTGGGTGGTGTGGGCAGCATGGAGGGCAGGTGGTGGATGGGTCATCCGTGGGCAGAGCCAGTCCTCTGAGCTCACCCAGCCCCTCCCACCCCACCGCTCCTGATAACAACGGGACTCTGAGCTATCTCGAGTTACAGCTGGGGAACCTGAGGTTCACACAGGTCAAGAGGCTTGTCCAGGGTTACCCAGCAAGTTGTCATGGTTAGCCACAGTCACCTCTGAACTCGGGTTGAACAGGGCCTCACGTGACCGCTTCTGCCACTGCAGGTGGAGCCAGGAGGCTATAGCCTCAGGCAGCAACAGGCAGGAAACCAATGGGCCTGGCAGACTGGTCTCCTGGCCAGTCCTCCGCAGGACCAGGCTAGAACCTCTCCCCTCCCCCACCCCTGGCTCTGTCAAGGGTCACTCCTCATCCTGGGGAGAGGTGGCACTTCAAGGGGCATCAGGAATCAGAATGCAGCTCAGTGTTGTCGCCACTGGATGGAGAAGGAGTGAAGGATAATTCAGAGGGGCCTTGAGTGTCCTCAAGGTGCTCGCAGTTTGAAAGGGCCGCAGGGAGAAGCTGGGTGATGTGTGTCATGGGAAGACAGACAGGACGTGTGTGGGACTGGGGAGCTGGCCTGTTGCATGGGAGAGGAGAGGAGGAGGCTGCTCTGGCCCTGGACGCAGGTGCTGACCGGTGTGGAGGTGAGGGGCACAGGGGACCCTGTAGGGAGTAAGTGGTCTCATGTGACGGGGACCTTGATGTTCCGGGAGGGAAGTGGAGCCAGGCAGGATCCCAGGCACGACGGAGAGCCCGGAAAGTGGGGGCGAGGGAGGCGGTCAGTGCTGGGTGGTACAAAGATGACCCCTCAGGATCCCAGATGGGATGGATGGGGGTGGGGTGGGGAGGAGGCTGGGGAGACGGTCGGGGGCAGGGGAGGGTGGGAAAGACTCGGTGACAGGCAAGTGTGCGAATTGAGAGGCAGGAGCACCCTGGAGCCCTCTGCATGGGAGAGTGTTGGCATCTGGGGCCCCGGAGCTGGCTGGCAGCTGTCCAGAGGAGGCAGCTCCCTGCTGGAACGGAGAGGGAGAGGGCAGAAGGCCTTTGGCTTGATTCTACCTTCCTACCTCGGGCCTTCCCGCCACCTGATGGAGCAGCTCCTGCCCCCGCCCCGCTTATCAGAAAAAGCGGCGTTAGCCGCCACCCAGACACAGGGAGGAGCCCCAGCGCCCACGCATCACCGGCCAGGCATTAAGAAGAAACATCAGCAACAACATAACTTTATTTGCGGCTTAGAGATCTGGATGGGGTGGGTAACCGAGCCCAGGTCTCCGCGAGGCGAGAAGATGCGGGGCCATGGGGCCCGATCCCTGGAGGAAGCCGCGCTCGGGCAGTCAGATTTTGCCCGCGAAGGTGCCTTCTTTGATCTGCTGGTTCCAGCGCTGCACCTGCGCAGCAGGAAGGCAGGGGGCGGCGCGCCGGCTCAGCCTCGGCCCGAGCCCTCCCCCACTCCCGCTGCGCGCCCCTCTGCCCGCTTACCCAACTGACGGGGCACAGCGAGCGGTACACGCGGAAATAGTACTCGCAGGGCTGCTCGCTCTTCCCGCGGCGCTTCATGGTCTTCACGCAGCGGTGGAAGTCTGCGGTGCGCAGCGGGGGCGGGGCCATGCGGCAGCCACGCCCATGCCCGACAGGCCCCGCCCCTTTGGCTCGGGCTCTCCCGGCCAGGCTCCGCCCCTGGCACTCTCGCCCCGCCCCTCGCAGCTCGGTCCCGCCCCCGTCAGCGCAGGCCCTGCCCTTTCCGACCTCGGCCCGCCCCCTTCCCGCCCCAACGGTCTCCGGGGTCGTCTGGTGCGGCTCGCCCCTCCTGCTTCCCCGGATGACGCACCTGCTCCCTCCAAACCTGGCCCACCGGCTCTCACCCAGGAAGTTCTGGTAGCAGTTACGGGTCTGGTTCTGGTTGGGGAAGCGCGGGTCGAAGGGCGGCGTTGACCATTTTCCCCTGGGGGGCTTCTTCGCTCCGACATCCAACATAAACGGAAGAGGCAGCTCCTGCGGAGCAGGAGGGGGGCTCCGT